TGTTTCACCTCATTTGAATAACTCTGTACTTTGCCTCATTTGAATAACCCTGTATAGCGCCTCATATACATTGACCAATGGGAATAGCTCTGTATAATGCCTCATTAGAATTATCCAATAGAATCCCTGCTCCTAGCTTGCGCCTTTTTCCCTATATAAGGACCCCTTTCCCTTGGCTCGGGGCGCTTAGCCACACAGAAGCTAAGTCGCCCCGGGTACCCGCGTCTCCAATAAAGCCTCTTGCTTTTGCATCCAAGTTCGTGGCCTCGCTGATTCCTGGGTGCGGGTCTTCTTCTACGAAAGTACCTCTTTGGGGGTCTTTCACCGATGTGTGTGTGTGTGTGTGTGTGTGTGTGTGTGTTCAAGGTCAGAAAAACAAATATCAGAAAACAGCAGGAAGAGCAATGGTTGCAGCATAAATAAGTCTGGTATAGTTCTTGCTCCATCAGGCCATCAGGAAGAAATCTTCAAACAGGGTTGCCTTAGTAGTGGGCCTAAATCAGCCTTTGACCAAGGACTGTTTTGAATACACCCTAACAAAGTCTAGAAGCAAGGCTTGGAAGCAGCCAGCTGACTCTATCTAAATAACCTTCCAACGTGCCAGAAAAAACATTCAGCCTTATTTAAAGGAATACAACAAACTAGTCAGCTGATGGAAATAACAGAAAAGTATCTATTATGAATATAACCAAATGTTCAAGAATGTCAAAGAAAAGTGCATTTAGAAGAGAAGCAAGATATATACACAGGTGTACAATAATTTATATACAGATATTTTAGATTCAAAGGGGTCTTTTAAAGATGAAAACACCCTTCTGAAATGAAAGATTGGGTTGGATTAACAGCAGATGTGTCATTTAAGAAGAGAAGCAAAGTAAGCACACCTTTAATCCCAGCACTCGGGAGGCAGAGACAGGTGGATCTCTGAGTTGGAGGCCAGCCTGGTCTACAGAGTGAATTCTAGAAAAGCCAGGGCTACATAGAGAAACTCAGTCTCCATAAAACAAAACAAAATAAGACAGTAACATAAACTGTCCAAAAGATAGCAGAGAGACAGCAAAGGAAGTGAATAATCTAAACAGAGCCTTTATGCTGTGTCACATTCCACAATCTAAACTGCAAACAAACTAAAGGAAAAAAAATGAAGTTCTAAAATTTTTCAAGTTTGATGAAACTACAAACTTACACATCATTACGTTGTATTCTGAAAGAAAGAACTCATAACAGAAACCTGGCAGGAGTCAGCCCTAGCCCTGAGGTGTCCTCCTGCCCTGGGGTGCCCTGCCGCAGCAGCCACACTTCAGTTCTTAAGTCACAAAAGAGAGTTTTGAGGATTTCAGTGTGGGATTTCTAGTGGCCATGAACCATGTAGGACCAAGTCCAGGCTTGACCTTCCTGGTATGAATGACACTGCTGTCCCTTGCCTGTCTCAGATGCCAGACTTTAATGTCAAGGAAGATGCTTCAAAGGAGTGTCCGAAGGGTGTGGCCCAAAACAGGGTCCCCCCTCACTGCAGTCTAAGGGTGGTATTGCTGTCCCTGTTTTTTTATGTGCTGGGGAAATACTTAGATTCTTTGTTTGGTTCGTTTTTTTGTTTTTGTTTTTCTTTGAGATAGGGTTTCTCTTTTGTAGCTTTGTAGACCAGGCTGGCCTTGAACTCACAGAGATCTGCCTGTCTCTGCAGGGATTAAAGGCATGTGCCCAACCACTGCCTGTCTAATACTTAGATTCATAATGGAATATGGCACAATGTTCTTCGTTGGGGAAGGTTGTATGCAAGAGCCTCCCTCATCCTCGGGTCCACTGCATGTGGAGGGAAGTAGAGGAGAAACACATCTGTCACCTTGAGCCAGCAAGACTCTCGGATGCTGCTGTTAAAACATTTATAACCTTTGTCTCACTCGGACAAAATTCATAGCATAAACCACTTCAAAGGGGAAAAAGGATTATTTATTTATTTATCTATTTATTTATCTATCTATCTGTTTATTTATTTATTTATTTATTTGACTTACTGTTTCAGATGGTTAGATCCTTTTGGCTCTACACATTTCTGGGCTCATTATATAGGAGGAGTTTGTAAGGAGACTCAAGACAAGGTGTAACCCTCAAAGGCAACCCCACTCCCTAGTGCCCTACTTCTCAGCTCACAAAGTTTCTAGAACCTTCCCCAGATGGAGCAACAAGCTGGAGACCAAAAATTTAACACAGGAGCTGGCAGGGCACATTTCAAATGCAATGATAACCACCCCCATGGATTTCCTGGCTCAACCCCACCACCTCCTCCAGTTGTGAAGTGGCTTAGCCTCCTGACCAGTGTCATTGCAGTGATGTTTTTCTGCACACTCTTGTTTTATGTGGTTGTGTGCTGCTCCCTCCTCCCCCAGGTTAGATTTTTAGAGTTCAAGACTTTCATAGCTTTACCAGGCTACTGCTGAAATTTTGTTCTAGCGCCCTTATGTCTTTCCAGTAATCTGTGGGGTTTGGAGTGAAGGGAGTGATGGGAGATATCATTCTGTAAATATGTTTCTCTTATTGGTTGATGAATAAAACACTGTTGGCCAATAGGGCAGCACGATAGGCAGGTCTAGGAGATGAGGAGGATTCTGGGAAACATAGGCAGAAGGAGTCACAATGTAGGACTCGAGAGGAGTAACATGTCTCTGGACATTTCTCTGGCAAGATAAGACCACGTGGAAA